CGGGCACGGCCGCGGCCCGCCCTGGGGACCACGGCTCCTGCAACAGAGTCAGGAACAAGATCCAAATTATAACCATTGTGGCATGGTGGCCTCAGCGCTTAGTCTGCTGGGGAGAGCGCGGCTCGCAGCCAGTGGCACCAGGGGTCCCATTAAAGCCGTCTTGCTAGCAGCACTCCGGAGATGCCGAGCGCACGCTGCTTCGAGCCGTGCAGCATCGGCAAGATTTTATCAGCCTCGATCTGGCCCTTTTATCTGTCTCAGATTTACTTAAATCAATAGACATCGGCAAAGGCCGCCGAAGAGTCCCAGCTGTTTGTGTTACACGGAGCTGCCGTGATCAGCCTTCTCCTTGGATTTCCAGATAGACAGACGGCATGCGTGAGACAGAGAGGCAAGGAAGGAGAGAGGGAGGGAGAGAGGGAGGAAGCCGCTGAATTTCGGCAGGAGTCTGTGGGGAAAATAGTTGATCGACGGAGCATAGAAATAAAAGGAGCTTCCTGCAACAATAGCCCGATCTGCGACCAATTGATACAGAGCAGAGGAGGCAAAAGGTATCAGTCTCGTGTGAACTCCCAGAGTGCAGCGTGGATAAAATTACACAGCATCTCTCTCTCTCTCTCTCTCTCTCTCTCTCCCTGCCGCCACCGCGCACATTGCACACCCCCGCACGGGGGGCCGGCAGCGCGGAGCAGCCGCGGACCCTCCGCCGAGCGCCGCCGCCCCCCGCGCTGCGGGAAGGGGGGGATGATGCTCCAAGGGAACCTCTTCGGGAGGTGGCTCTGGCGAGTTCGCGTGTAAAAGGCAAAGAGCGAGGGAGGGGGTGCGGGTCCCGGCTCCCCGGGAGGCGATGGGGGGAGAAAACACCCCCGTGGCTCGCACTCAGGATTTGCTCAGCGTGTGCGTGTCCCTCGCTCTGCCCCCAGTGAGGAGAGCAAACAGTTATTCCTAAGTCAATCAGCTCGCTCTTACGACTAATAGGCGTTATTTAGATGGAGCTCTCACGATCTAATCATTCCCAAATTAACTTAGGCAAAGCAAGGCCCGGCAAGTGTTATGATGTACATCCCTGAGTGCATTTGCAAGAAGTCGTAGCTAATCCTTTTCCTTAACTCCGGTGCCTGGAAAGTCTCACTAGTTGGCGCGGAGCTGCCCTCGCTACCCTGGCGCTTCACACCACTGCCTACGCTTTCCAAAGAGGATGGAGCTACCTATAAATAAATATAAAAGAAGGCAAAAGGTTCAACAGCTCCGTGAATTACGCTGTCCCTGCGTGCTCCTCAAAGGCAGCTCGTTAATTAGATTTGCATCTGAAACAGGCAGTAGGAGTTTTGGGGAAGTGTTTGAGAGATAATTAGTATTAATGTGCTTGAAGGGCACACAAATACACCTTTGAAGTGAGTCACGTCACAATTCGAGCGTTTGACCTTGATCAATATAATTTTTTTTTTCCGGAACTGGTGAACATGAAGAGGTCTATAAATTTTTTTAAAGACCTTCCTATGTAGAGCAGGAGGATTTTCTTACACGTTAAAGACTTCTTTTAAAAAGGGAAGCTTTTACTAGCGGGAAAATAAGGGAAGGGGTACGACCTTTTCCTGAAAGGAATGGCAGAAGGACGAAACTGTCTCGAAAGCTACTCCCCGTTTTAAGCTGGTGCTTAATATTTAGTAGTTCTTCAAGGCTAAAAGGATTTTCATTATACAGTCGTCTGGAATAAAAGGAAACACATAAAAAACCCCACAAGCACCCTCTCCGCCTTTACCACCCTTCCTCCCCCTTTTCTTCTCCGCAAGTTAAGCCCCAGCCTCACAAGGAGAGCTTGATCTGGGGATGATAAATGTTTGTACAATTAATTCTTTATTGCTGTTCTCCTACAATGCCACTGCCAGGCGGTCAAGTGGTTCCAGCGTATTGATTGAAAGCTAAAAAAGCTGTGTATGCAAGTGAAATATGTAAATCCTAAACATGCAGAACCCAAGTTTTGGAGTTTACGTGGTGGGGGGAGTGTTGTTTGCAGGCCAAATCCTTCAGTCCCTCAGAAAAGAAGAACCTCTCTGGAAAACCTTCCTCTCGGGGATGCTCCATAAATCGTCTCCTGGGGGACTCGTAACCTCTGACGAGCTGCGAGACAACTGTGGCAGCAGAAAAATAACTCTTAACGTGTCACGAGTCTCCTGAAAGATGCTTTCACCGGCACCGCTTGAAGGGAAGATAAAACACAATTACTGACAGTAATTACAGCGATCTCTTTAGAACAAATCTCGGCTCTGTCCCGAGCCCGGTGCAGCGCCCTGTGGATGCGCAGCTGACATTTTCCGGTTCGGGATTCGCAGGGCATTTTCATTAGTGCTCTGAAAAAAACCCCTCAAGATCCTCCTCCCGCCCCCCACCGCAATAATAAACCCCAAAGACCAGTGGGTGGAAGAGTAACACGCTAATGACTTTTGCTCAAATTGTTTCCATCTTGATCACATTTTCATAATTAGCGCCATCAGCCACAAATCTTTCCGCCTTGGGCATCTGCCGCAGCCAGGCTTCCCCAGCGATGTGGATTCTACTTATTAGGGAGGGGAACACTTACAGGTCTATCATTAATGGTCCTCCTTTCAAATGAAATGAACCCGACCCCCACGGAAATATCAAAGGGCCGTAACCACCTCGTCTCTCTCGGCGCAGCGCTGAATAGCGAGCAGCCTGAAGTCGTTTCGCTCTACTCAGACATCTCTACAATAAAACATAAGCCCACTCTTGTATATTTTAAGTTTGTCTGGTGACCATTTTTGAAAACAAAAAGGGTCCCTTTGATGTGGTCTGATTCTAACAGGGGCTGCGACGTCAGATGTGGTCTACCGAATCTTTCTGGAAATATTTTTAATTATGCCCCAGAGCTCCTCGTAGCCCCAAAGTAATCATCAGAGAGCGGTTCGAGCCTGTCGCTTCACGTGGGGGGAAGAGGATGCTCTAGACCGTACGTAACTAAATCAGAATTATGGCTGATAATGATCTTCTAATTGGCTCGAAGTGTGTGATTTTAAATGTATCGCGGTAGGGATCTGTTATTCTTTTGCTAACGGAGGATTTCGAAGGCTTCTCTCAGTTCAGCCACAAACCCAGTGCTTCTCCTGCGAAGACATTGGGTGAAAGCGAGTATTTGAGACAGAGGATTTTATCCTTGTAAACACGTGAAGCACTCGTACTCTATACTAATTACTCTCCGAGAAGGCATATATATATATATATATATATATATTCGGACATGGACGTCTAAGATATTTATGGAGATACAATTTTTTATTTAAGTATTTCCGAAGTGTAAACAAACAAACAAAAAAAGGGCAAAACTTTGAAAGGGCCAACTTTAACCTGTAACAAACTTTCCAAACCCCCATCTTGCAGGGATGGGGCAGTGAATCAGGATGTGCTGTTCCTCCGCACCCAGCGCTGATTTACGACCGGCCCGTTACTCGAAGGAGAAGGAAGTCACAATTTGTAGAGCAATAAATACCGAGGCGGTGGGTGGAGCCCCCAGCAGGAAAAAAAAGAAAAAAAAAAAAAAACCCTCTCTTTCTCCAATTAAAAATCCATCCCAGCTAGGCTGCGGAGCGTGGGAAGGTCCCAAAGAAAACAGGCGCGGTGCTGATGAGGTGTTTTGTTTGCGATGTGCTAATGGCATCTTCCGAGCGGAGCTTTCCTCCCTGCTGCAGTCCCCTCACACCTGCTGATACCGGGAAGAGCCCCGAAAATCCAATTGATTTAATTCGGCTATATTTTGTTTTCTTTGTGCTGTCCTGGCGGGGTTATTCTGCACCCCGCGAACAATATAATCTTGTTTAAATGACTTTCCAGACCACACAGCATCAGGTTACCCTGTTCTATAGGGGCAGCCAATGCTGCTTATTGTATTGTACAGCGGTAGCTCCCAGAAAGCAGGATGGAGGCAGAGTGGAGGAGGGAAGCTCCGAGGAGGAAATTAATAGCTTCTGAGGTTCAGGTTGTTTTTCAGGTGGGGAAAAGAAGATATAGGTAATTTCCAATGAAAGCACATAGAGAGAAAGCTCTAGAAGAAATGTTAAACACATAAAAACTTTAAAATAATTTTTCCCTTTATCCACTCACATGAAATGTTTTTCGCTTTTATAGTAACTTTTTGCAGTTTATGAACAAACAAGCTGAGGTCTTTAGCATGACACAGCTGATTCTATACATATTATGGGAGCTACTGCTATATTGCCCTTCAGACAGTAAATTAGTGTACAAGTTTTAGTCTTCTGTATTTTGGTTAAAACATTCTATAATCGAGATCTATTGTTGTTGTTATTATTGTTGTTGTTGTTGCCATTATTAATATTTCAAGATGCAAGTGTTTAAATTCCTTACTCCTACTGAATTCCTACCAAAGTTGGTGAGAGTTTCTCTGTCTAAGGACCAAGAGATTAATCCTTCATTCAAAGTCCATGGAATTCACTAAGAGCCTTTTCTTTAAAATCAATGAATTTGGATCAGGCCCAATCTTATCACTAAAAAAATAATTTTCTGTCATGCTCTGATAATTTCTTAATGGCTTGCTGAATGAAAATATTCTAAACAATGAATTCAGTAGCATTAAAGGAAAAAATCCCATATTTTACCCTCGGTCGCTTACTCCTTTTCAACACAAGACACAAAGGAAACAGTAGAAGAAATGTAACAGAGAGAAATGTGCGATGGTGAGGTTTAGATGACTGTCACGTGGCTTGGACAGATCTGTGGCAGGCTCAAAGCAGGCTACAATAGGGATATTCAGACTCATACAGAACTGTAAACTGCAGCCACGAGAATAACCAAACATGAGAAATACAGGGTAGTCCACAAGAGGAGAAAGGAGTGCAAAAACAATAGAAATGTAATTTGGTGATAACCTGGAGGCTGTTTGCATACCTGCTTCACACCTTTGATATCTCAATCCTCACTTAATAGCCTGAGCTCTTGGAAAAACTCTACTCGCTTTTTTTTTTGGTAACACAGCACTTTTTTTGAAATAAGCTTCAAAGAGTTTCTTCTGATTTACAGAGGAGCCTGGTGTACCTGGGAGAAGTATCTGACCCATACCCAGGATGGGTACCCACTGCATACCCAATTGCACTTTGTGCCTGAAGGATCTGCTGTTCAGATAAATCTCCTAGTACTTTTAGAATTTATCCTCCCATTGCTTTCACAATCAGAGGCTTGTTACAATCTCACTCAGCCCTGCAAATCTTTGGGAATTGGGTTACCCGAAGATAAAAGATCTCTCTCTTTCTCCAAGCTGTGGCTGGATCAACACTTTGCAAAATCAGATGACAGGCAGAGGGGTCAGGCCTAGGTCTGTGCATGGGGTGCCCAAGCACCAGGGATAAATCCTGGAAGCAGCTGCCTTAGGGAAATGGCACGTGCATGGACTTTTGTCCCTGGGCAGAGAACACTGGTGACAGGAATGATCCACTCCACTCTGAAGGTCAGCAAATGTTGCATTTAAACTTTGCTGGGAAGACCACTTCAGATTAAGGTTTGCATCCTATGCCTGGGGTGTAAGGAATAGGGACAAGAATCAGGAGAAATGCAGGCAAGGAGAGGTTATACAGTTTTCAGATCTAAAAAAAGCTGATGTAGAGAACATCAGAAACACAAAGTTAGTATCTTAGATGAATTTCAGCAGAATTCTTCTTTTCCAACAGGGGAAGGGGTGAGGCATTTGTCATAGGAGAATGATCCCAGGTGTGTTCCTCAACCACACAAACTAAGATGCCACGGAGTCATGGTGAAAGGTACAAAGAGGGAACAAGCTAAAAGGATCTTTCCTTCTTGTACGCCCTGCATTTATCTATCAGAGCTTGGGTGGGAAATAAAGTGGAGTGGTGAATAACTCCAGAGGGTGCTTGGTACAAATATGTGAGTTTATCTCTCGACCCCATGTCCCCAAGGCCACCCAGGATACAGAGTTTCACACAGTAGCTATGAGCTCTCTGCTCCACCAGTGTGGGACAGGTGGGAGGCATTCAGGACACACCTGGAGAGGCTTGAGATGGAATCAGTGTTATTTTGCTCCCCTCCAGAAGGTCTGCAATTGAGGAGAATGTGGGACCAGACTCTGGGGCTTAGCCAAGCCAGCAGAAAAATGGCCTCTACTTAATACAGACCCTTCCCACAGTGGACATTTAGTCCCACAGGGGGATTAAAAGTCTCTCTTACTAGACCTGGAGTTCCATAGAAGAAATAAACTGCTGAGAAAAAACACATATATTACATTTTTTCTTCTTTCTTTACAATTTTGTGAAAGCAGAAGTCCTACTACTTAAATCCTCAAAACCAGCCAGGCCAGCAAGGAGGAATTCCTCTGTCCTGTCCTGCCACTGGTTACCCCACATTAGCAGGTGTGGTCTCAGTTCCTCTGGTGCTCTTCGGCAGAAATTAACAAATATTTTTTTCATAGCAGTTCCATTAAGTAGGGTACTAATCAACTGATTAATACTGTGTTCTAGATATCCTGTACCTAAGACAGTGCATCTAAGAAAGTATGGGGTAGATAAGACAATTTGGATCTCTTGTTTCAACCCAATTCAGCTGCCTGAGCTGCTAGAACTGAAGGTATATTTTTCACCTGTAACATAAAGAGGGAGTTTCAATAATTGAATAGTGTGTTACCTCAGTGCACTTTCTAATCTGAGACAGTCTTCTACAATTTCTCCTGCCCTAAGAAAAATATCATAGAAGTGATGACCCAAATCAGCAAAAATATCCAAAATAAATAAAACATGCCTGAAACATCTCAGAATTAAGATGCAGATGCAAGTTGTGAGAGCTGCCCATGACAAAGCTGGTGTTGCAAAGGCACAGGCTCTACCCATCTCCTGTCTACTTGCAAGCTCCGGTTTAAATGACTAGGTTTTAGCCCCAACAGAGCATTTTCCCACTGAACAGGGCTTTTTGGTGGCACAGGGATATGGTGTCACATCAAAAAAAGAGGTCAGGGCATTTTCTTTCCTGGAAGTTGCAGTGCACAGTTGCAGCACTGCTGTGTGTTGTGACTCAGATACCTGTGCTTGGATCCCACGTCCCAGGTGATGCCCCAGTGTGCACACAAGGGTCAGCTCTGGGCCATCTTTGTACTGCCAGCATCCCACATGTGGCTGGAAGCCACAGGTGAATTTGCAGTGGATATATTTCCCAGTATCTCTTTGGCAGTAATCTCTCTTTCCTTGGAATTGAGTAACACAAGCTCATAAACTCAGGTCAGCAAAACTAGGATCTAATGACCAATATTATTTTTTATGTCTCTAAATCTCATTGCCACATCTGATCCCCCTTCACCATCCTCTTTCAGGTGTTCTTCTCATTAGGAAGTACAGTCTGCTTTCTCTCCTGTAGCTGGGATGGCTGACTGGTAAGTAATGTTGATTTTTTTCTGGGAAAAAAAATTGAAAAATCAGACTCCCATTATAGATGAGTTGCATCCTATAGATGTGACATCTTAGCTTTACTAAGGCCTTTTTTTTCAGCAGTTATCTACAAAGCAGAGTTTTTCCTGTGGATCATTTAAAAAGAATTGATGCATCTTGCAGAATCCATTCTTTAGTGAGTTACAGGAGGCAGAGTAAGCACTTATTTGTGTCTTCATGTCTGAGCATTGCTTTCTACGAAGGGTGTTTGTTGCCGTGAATCTCTCCTTGGTAATCCAGTCATTTGCCTTAATAGACCACCTCAAAACAGAACAAAACAAAACAAAAAAAAAAAAAAAGAAAAAAGGGTGTGTGGAAACTTTCAGGTTTATTTTATTTTCTGAAATCACTTGTCCTCTGATTCTAGCACTTAACCACTAAACCCACTGACTGTTCACACAGACCAGTAGAGGTTCTTATCCCAAGAACATTTTTCCCTCCTGCCCCATTCTGATATTTTATTTTATGAAAAAGGATAAATTGGAACGTGAAGAAGTCAGATCCCTCACTTGAGGTCCAGGGCACCATCATCTGTCTCAGGAGCACATTGTCCATTAATCTATGAACGATGACCCTGGGGTTGTTCTCCAGCTACATCTGAGTGCAACGTTGCTCCTTAAAGACTGATATGTGTATCAGACCTCAATAGTGGAATTCTGGACTATTTTTATAAGATATTTCTTTGGACAGTTTTGGTTCACAGGGCTCCTCTGAAAAAAATCAGTGAAGTTATTGTCAGACAAACATCTGGACTGAAAGAGTACAGTGGGTTTTAGAATCACCCGAATTTTACAGAAGCAGAATGCAAACAGTTATAGAGAATTATTGGCTTTTGTCAAATGTGGACATTTCAAAAGCATTATTTATTTATTTTTTTTCCAGGTCACTCATTAAAATCTATCCTTTGCCCAGAAAGAAGGACACCCACTTCCAAGCAGACACACAAACACAGACACACACACAGGCACACCTGCAGTCCCTACCCGTATGTAATGCCTGAACTTGCAAACTCTTTGTCATGGAAGTAATCTTTATTCACGTGAGCAACCCCACAAGACTATTCATGCAATGGAGAATTACTCACATGGGTAAAACTTCTGCAGAATCAGGTCCTGGATCTAACAACAGCATTTTAATTACAGACAATCCCCGAGCAATGTGTACAAAAGAGGTTTTTTTTCCTGGACAATAACAAAGGTTATTAGCCTGTTCTTTTTTCCCCTTCTTGCTCTTTGGTTTGAAAGGAGGCACCAATAATCCAAACCAAATAAAACTGACCTTTGAACCTTTTTTGCTGTACTTTTTCTCATGCCATGATTTCTTTAGTCTGTTAGTGATCTGAAGGCTCGTTCTGGGCTACAGCCACTTTCCCAGACAGGACTGCCTTTCGTCCCCTGACAAATCACTGCTGAGCCCCTTTTGTCCTGCACCACTTTGATCTCACCTGCCTGTCAGGCAAAAAAGGACTCCCGTACAGTCAGAATGCATTGCAAACAAATTGGCAACCATTTCATTCCTGTGCACCATTTTCAGCAGAGATCACGATAAAGATAGAGAATTTTTAACCCTTTTCTCGACCTGCAGGACTAGGAAGAAATGCTCAGTTATGGTGGATTGAAAAAATTATTTATTAAGGAATAGAAGAATTAATAAAAAACAGCAAAAAAAGCCCACAAACCTCTCTAGATCAGAATTGCATGGCATATTCTCTCTCAAATACAAAGGAATGATTGCACAGTGGGCAGTGCTATGCTCAGATACAAGCTTTGTAGAAGATCGATTCCGTTTAATTGGACAGCTGCTTAAGCATAAACTAAAGAAACATAATAGATATTCTCCAATGTGAATTAAATTAATCCTATTGTAAATAACGATTGGAGTATTTAAAGGGATATCTGAATCCTTTCCAATATCCAAACTTAGCCATAGGTGAGTTTCTTTCCCAGTTTAATCTCAGTAACTTTTAATGTTTAATTTTTTTAAAAAAATTTACAGTTCTTCATCACATAAAGTTTAGAAAAGACATTGTGTAGCAACTGGCAATGACTGTGCATTTCACTCTGTGATATCAGAGGAATCCAGTCCTTGAGCTCAGATTTGCAGGATCATAGGTGTATTTTAGCTGTTTACAATTTATCTTCCCCCATGTGCCACCCTCCTTCCAAAGCAGCAGCCCTGTTTATCCAAAAGGCAGCTTTTTATCAAATTACCTGTCCGCCTTTATTTTAACCTAGCAGTACACATTGCCCTCAGAGAAAGGAAATTTAACACATCCCTCTCTTCTGTTTAAAATTATTGAAAGAAGAAGTATAAACTTTTGGAGAAAGCAAAGCTACACCAGTGATGAAAAGGAGAAAGAGCACTCAAACCTGTTGTAAAACATACATATTAATGAAACAGTGCATTCTGCACAAAAAATATTTAAATTACATTTTATAGCTGAAAGTTCAATGTTTCTATATTCCTGCCATGCTTACCTGATACAAACAGTAGTGATTGTTTTATTGATATCAGTATATCCCCACATATTTGTTTGGTTTAGAGTGTATAAATTTTTCTTTCAAGTGTTACTCTGCTGATTCCTCCATAAGGAGAGAATTCTTTATTTGGCAGGAAAAAATCCTCTGAAATTAAAAGGAAAGAAGCTGTTTAAGAACTGGTTATAAATGTTAAAAGAAAACTATTACCAAATCTCTGTTTTGCTTCATTGTGCTGATGTCCTGATAATGTTTAAATATACATGAGATACAAATGCAGTAAAAATAGAAAAATGCTGTTAAAATATATGAGATAAAAATGCTGTTGCTTCTTGATAGTAAAGCATAGTTTTGGTGGTTTTTGGTTTTTTTAAATTGACCTAAGTACAGCTTTGTGTTCACAAATCCCAGTCCCCAAAGCCTGAGAGCAGAATCTCAGTATCAGCTAAGTTTTGCTGGATGGAAAGAAATTGTTGGCCTGTTTTCATGTATCATGGAATGACAGAATCATGGAATGGTTTGAGTTGGAAGGGACATTAAATTCATGCAGTTCCATTTCCCTTCCCACAGACAGCGACATCTTCTACTAAACCAGAGCTCCATCCAGCCTGGCCTTGAACAATTCCAGGGGTGGAACATTCCCAGGAGAATGTCCTCCACTTTCGTTCAATACATAAAAAAGGCCAGTCAGGAACCTTTTGTGACCATGCCCTTGGGAAATGGACAGGTTTCCGTCTTTTCACCTCTCATTCCCAAACAGAGTCAGGATCTTCTTCAAAATTGTCCCTTCCTATCTTACCTTGCAGGTCTTCTTCAAGGACGTTTCATGACCACTCTTTTTTTGATGCCCTGTGTCTCCTAACCTGCACTCAGCCTTTGAGAAAAATCTTTGAGAATCCTCTTCAATTTGTGTAAAGCATCATTTTTTCCCACCAGCTGTTCAGCAGTTAGTCCTAAGTTGCATAGATCTTAACAGGAAATTCTCTGTAATGGAAATCAATAAGTTTGGAGTGGAGTCATTTTTCATGGAATTTCATGGGAATCCTAATTGTGACTGGGCCAGATCATCTAAGCCAGCTCTGAGAAGGATTAGATCTAATAAAAATGTGGTACATGTGGGTACATGCTGCTGCTGTTGCTGCTCTTAACCCGAGCTGAGCTGCACTGCTGCAAGTACATTTCTAGGGAAGATGGTAACCAAAATTCTGTTAAGACAACAATCTATACAACAACTGGGAATAAAAATTCCAAGGAGATGTTGCCAAAAGATGCCAGGGAGATGCTCCTTCACCATCATGTTCTCCAGATATCTTTATAGCTACCACTGAGCTTTCTGTTTTAGCCAGTATAAATTAGAGTCTTTCTTGGAGCATTTCTTTGTTCTTGTGAAGGGAAAAGGCAGCTCATGTTTGACCCAACGTGTGCAAAAGTCAGCTCCAAGTTACCTTTCTTATTGATTGTTTTGACTGACATTCTCCCTCGTGTAATTCTACACACAGCTTTCAAACTAGGTTTGAAGACCCTTACCCTTTTTTTTTTTTTTTTTTTTTTAACCTGTTCCCATCAGCTATTTAAGGTGCACTCACTTTTTCTTTGGGGTTTTTTTTTGAGCCTGATTATTTATAATTAGCATTTTCTGCCCACATGCAATTGTGCTCTAAACTCTTTCACATTGGGTTAATTCACTGACTTTAAAATCTATCAATTGACATCCAGAAGAAAAAAATGTAAACATGTCTTTAAAGGATGGCATGAATGGTTGAATCAAGATTAGGTCCCCACTCTTGTTAGTCCCTGATTTTCAGGGAAGGCTGCAGTCTTCAAAAATCAATTGTCTTCAAAGCTCCAAAAAGCAAAGGAATGAGCAGGGGTCAGACTCAAGAGCATCCCTTGTGCGCTGGAGTTAACATTACCTAAGTACTTTAAACGATCACTAATTAGTGCTTTCAATGGCCACTCCGAAGACCACAGGGCTGAAATATCTTATTTGGTAATAAACCATTGTGTCAGGCAGACTGGAGCAGCTCTCTAGCAGGGGCAGCAGAATCAGTCTTCTGTTACAGCCTGTAACCAGAGAGAGCTCCTGGAGGAGCCGCTGAGCCACCCCAGGTCACCCTCTGCCATTGTTCCCGGGCCAAGGTGGCCACAGGGCTCCTGCCTGGACATGCATCTGCGCTCCCCTCTTGCATTCCATGTTTAACACTGCCCTGTTTGCCTTCCATCAGGAGCATGAATGCACCTCTGCAGGTATTTAGGAATCCAGGCAGTGAAAAAAAGTATCGGTGCTGAGCGTTTCAGAGGCAACCTGGAAAAATCCCTACAAAGTTCTTCAAAATAACAGGAAAACAATTGGTAAATTATTATTTCCTAGCTGAGCTGAGTTCAGTAGAGTTAGAGTTTACTACTCACAACTGCATTTAAATGGAACAGGGGTATCTAAGGGAGCACAAAATGATTCTTAGATACTGCTGGATCCTTGAGTTTCAAGTCAACAGCCCTAAATATGTTCTATTACACACACACCCAAAATGATACAGGTAGGTAAGGATTTGACATATATAATCCTCTTTTAAGAGTTCATTTACAGATACCAAGTATTTTTGATGGAGATATAAATAACTTGCAAAATGCATGCAGTGAAATGTGGGAATAATGAGTGTACACACAGACGGGGATCCACCATAACAAACCGGCATTTGAGCACCATTTATGAAAGTAGTGCTTCATAATGACGCTGCTTTTTGAAAAAACAGCAACCATTTTACAGTTTATTCATTATTCTAAAGTCAGATGAGGATATTTAGCAGGAAATCAGTAGAGATTCCAAAAGAGACAGGCAAAGCTTTGACTTGGATCTTAGTCTGGAGTTTGCTGTGTTTTACAAATTACATTTTCTTTTCTGGCAACTATCACGGAATCAATCAGGAACCACAGAATCAATCAGATTGGAGAAGACCTCTGAGATCATGGAGTCCAACCTTTGACTGATACCCACCTTGTCAGCCAGACCATGAGCCACATCCAGTCCTTCCTTGGACACCTCCCTCACATAAACTGCACTGAACCGTGAAAAAAAACAACTCTGTGATGGTTAAAAAGCAATCATCAGAAAAATTAATTGGGACTGTGTCTGTTATAAAGAAGAGTAAAATCTTCTTTGTCCACCAGAAGACAGTGTCTGAATTAACAAATTAAAAAAATAATTGGGAAGTTTTGAGTTTTTTGATTAAAAATAAATTTTGTGAAGACAAATTTGTTTGGAAGATGGAAACTCTGGATTCTTCATGTCAACAACAACAAAATCCTGGAAAAAAATCTGCATAATACAAACAAAAACCTTACAAGTTCTACCGTGGCTTCTCCATCTTTTCTTGACTCTGTCCAAATTTCACTTGTTGTGTTTTACAGCACACTTTAGTGGAGGAGCTTCATTGTTATGTCTCAAAGACAAATAAAAAACTTACTAATTGATCTTGTCTGTCAGGAGTTTGTTTCAGGTTCTAATACTTAAACTGCAGCCACCAGAATGCTAATTTCTGGTGTGTCCAGCACTGATTTTCTTGAGAAAAATAGCTTCAAAGGTGCTGCCAGCCCATCCTAGAGACAGTAAATAAGTCCCTTCAGAAAGACAATTTACAACAGAAAATGAATTCTATAGAAATGTCAACTCTAGGTTTAATATAAATTTTGATAACAAACTTTGGATTTCTCAGATTTGATGATATTACCCTGCCTTGGTATTTTCAAGTGAAGGAATAATTTAGAAAAATTTTTTCTTCCACTTTGTGTTTTAGCACCTCATTTTCACAGATGAATCGTGGCAGGGCTGTTTGTCAGCCTGAGCAGGGCCAGGTGCTCCAGGGATGCAGCTCTGAGAACAGGGAGCCAGGCTCAGCTCTCCACTTACCACTGCAAATCCTCTATTATTGCCCCTTTCTGCACCCTGGCCACGAGAAACAGGCAGGGCCTGCAAAGTTAAAGCAGGGGTCACTCTCTAATTGAAACATCTCCATGTGCAGGTCAGGTTTGAAGGGTCTTTAATGTGAGTGACCACAAAATGAGGAGATGTAAGCAATTGTTGAAATGTGTAATTTCCAAAGCAAGTCACACAAAGGGAGATGGGAGTTGGCCTCAGTGGGGAAAGTCAAGGCTCAGTTTGAGGAAGATCAGTATTTTCTGAAAACCTACTCCATGAGGAAATGTTCAATTTTTATTCTTGAATCAATAATCACTTAGTCTGGAAATGGATTAAGTCCTCTGTGGTGCATTCCAATCAGCATTATTGTATTGAGGAATAAGACAACCAGAAACTGAAAACAATTGGTAAGAACTTAAGAATGACTGACTTTTTTCATTGCTTTTTCAAGAAAGAAGGGATGATGTCATATAAAGTATTTGTCATTTTTACCTGTGCAATCATCAGCACAGTTTGGATTGTAAGGCTTAAGGACTGATCCTTTAAGAAATACTCCTTTTCTAAAACTTCCATTCCTGCTGGTCCCACTGAGTGGGAACAAAATGCTTAAAGGTGTTCAGTATCTCTGTGCATTGTGGGCATTGCTGGCAGAGCCCACAGGTGGCACAAGGGAAAAATAAACCACAGGGTTTCACATTTTTACTGCATCTCCATGGTCATTAACTGCTTGTGGGTCAACCTGAAGTTTCTTTTTTTTGCTGAACAAGTCCAAGAGTCAGAGTTTTGAACTGATATCTAAAGCTCTGGAGCATTTGTTCCTCTGCCTGTTAGACTCACATCTCGTCTGTTAAAATTATTCTAAAGAGACGTTTAACCTGCTTCATACCCACATTTTGAACAATTTGTTGGAGCAGGGTCATTACTTACCACTCAAAAGGAATTATTTAGTCAAATATTCATGTCATTTATTTGGTCTTGCTCTGCCCTTTGTGGGAAGCAGTTTTCTACTCCAGTTTTGTACATTTCCGAAGTATGCTTGGAGCAGAGCAAAGGCAGAGCCACATTCTCCAGAAATATCTCTACCATAAGCTTTTTCACAAATGGATTTGTGAATTGAAAGTGAATGTCACTGTGCACACAGCATAGGCTAAGATAGCAGCTGCATTGCCTAAACGTGCTCTTTAGAGTTTTAATTCACCAGGAAAACCCTCTCAGAGAAATTAAATAGTACTCATGGGAAAGGATCCTTCTTTCAGCAGGTTTTTCGTGGGACTTTCAGGGCCATTAACAAGCCCAATACACTGCATTACCTGTCCAGTCACTTCTGTGTAGGGATCACTTTGTTGTGATACCCACTTAAAATATCAAAGCTGTGAGAAGTTCAATGAGATATTGAGAAGTGAGTAACACAGGTTTTATATGACAATCCCAAATCCCTCCCTCTGTCTTTTTTTTTTTTTTTTTTTTAAAGTTCTTTGCCAGCATCACTAGATGAAAAAGAAATAAAAAGTCTGTGGGTGGGACATGAAGGACTGACAAGGTAAAGCCAGATCAAAAAGAAGCCTCCAATAATAAATCAAAGAGACTAAACAAAGGGCAGGACAGAAAAAAAAAAAAAAAAAAAGATAAGTATTTTGAATCCTGTAACTTAGATGTAAACTGTCCTAATTCAGCATTATTTTGCAAACACAAGATTGATTCTTGGGCATTCTGACCTGGGGAAGGGGGAGCAGTGAAGCAGTGTTCATCAAAAAATGTCAAGGCTAGGAATCAGTGGGGAAGATCAACACAGAATTCCTGGAAATAAGAAAAGGAAAAAAAGGCCAATCCTTGATCTTCTGATTAAATATTAGTATTTTGGGGGTTCCAGTATACACAACTATTGGTCTAATAAAGCTAAAAAATGAAACTGGGAAAAAAGGAAGGGCAGATGTAGCTCTGGAAGTCCAGCAAGATAATTTAACTATCACTGGACAAAAATAAATCTGCAGAATATGGGGGGAAGGGAATTGGAAGGGAAATGTCTGTTGCATGTCATGTAACCAAAAGTCAGCTCTAGATTTTCAGAGTCAATTTGCAGTCAGGACTTTCCCTTTAGAACTGTTTGATCAGCACTGTGATGAGGTACAATATGCAATCAATGAAGCTGTCAGAGCCTCCCAGTGCAGAGGTGGCTGAAAACCAGGAAGAATCTTTGGAAGAGCACTTCATAATTCTGTAATACCATCTAGTATCTATGCCAGGCTGTGCATAGCTTTATGATCCAGCCACTCCATTAGTTTTTTTGCAGTCCTGGTCCAAAACAAAGTCTTGGCCAAGGTTTACAACATGTCCTGAATTCAGAGCAAATCCTGACTTCAGTTGGTGCATGTCTGAAGCAGATTTTATCCAGAGGTTTTCAGTATCCAACCCAAACTTGATGGATTGAAGACTTAAAATGCAGATATCCAATCCAAATTGCAGTATGATAATTGCAGTATAATTGCATAAAGCTCTAAGGAGTCAAAATAGATTCGCTTAAACATAAACATACAGAAATTATTTAGGATGTATAAATATGAATTACTGATTTTTAAGTGCATACCAATACAAAATAAATGTATTTCCACCTTGATGGAACTGCAGAAATGCATTTTCTTAAAACTGTAGGTTTTAGAAGAAAGTTAGCAAGTGTTCTCTTGCTGTTGGTACCTTCTGACCAGTAAATCTTGGCAGGGAACATGTGAGGCTTCTGCTGTTTGCACATTCTGCTGAATGTGAGGCATTTCTGTTTGCATTCAATCAATCCTTAGAATCCTCAAAACTGAGCTAAAATTCAATCTATATAATCCCACGGAATGGAAATGCAGAAGTGAAGATCTGGTAATCCAAATCCAGGCATTCCAGGTCTAACTTTAGAAAAGAAGTAATTAAAGTGAGTTAAAGTGCCTCATTGCTGTCGAGCAGCACCTGCTGGGTTTATTCCTAAAGAGACAGGTACGACCATTTGCAAATGCTTTTTGCTTCACTTAAACACATTTTAATTTACTGGTCACAATTTGAAATTGAAGGCAATTTTTATATTCTTCATCAATAATCTACCTACATAATTTAAAATAAATATTCTTTGAACATACTTATCAAATAAGACATCCACTCTGGTATTTTAACAACAAAACATTTTTTTACCTGACACTCCAAGGTGGACTTGATAACCCTTAATGCTTGACTGTTCCATAATCTTTTCTTGTTTTGTAAAATGCCTCTAGGAAAGCAACCTAGGCCTGTCCTTGATGTGGGTTTGTCCTTTATTTAGTGCAGCTTCTGAACACCTTTGATAAATTAATCTCCCCAGTAGAACATCACTGGGCTAGTTGTACTTTGATGCCTGCTCTTGGGGGATCTGCTGCTCACGGGGCTGGAGGTTCAGGAGGACAGGAGACATGCTCATTTTCATGGTTTTGTATATCCAGGTGAGAGGGACCCTCTGTGTGCTGGAGAACCAATTTCTTCCACAATAAATTCCATTTACTTGTGCAGTACACTTTCCTGCAGCTCTCCATCTGTGCATGTGTGATTCAGCTTTTAGAGACAGTGAGTTCTGGGAGATTATAAAATATGTGTAAATATGCATGATTGCACATAAAAATAGGCCTAAATAAGTGAATATAAATGGGGGGCTGTGATTCAATTCTCCACCAGCCTTCAGGGGGGTAGTTGCTGCCCATCTCTCTGGAATATTTCAAGGCGACCTGTTGTACAGCTCCTTACACTCTGTGAACTGAAACACTTCAAATGAATCCTGCATTTACCTCTGCAAAAATGAATTCAAATTCACATGGCATATGGCACTCTGGCAGATTTTGAGATGTGAAACCAGAGGAACTGGCCTGAGTCAGAAGCTGAATCTCCAGTGTCCTCCAGGCTGTATTTACTTGAATTACATCAGCAGTACCATGATAAATTGTCACTATGAGGAGGCAGGGTGTATACACCCACAGTGTGCCAAATCACCCTTTTATCAGCCTGTGATTAGCAGTGCTCAGTGCTCAGACAGGACCTTGGGATTACTGCAGTACTCCAGTCTGAAAAGGACACAAGAACCAGGGCTTTTAAAAATTAAACCCTGGGGCACACTAGAAACTGAAAGTATCAGCTTATCTCTTAGCTCATCCACAGA